GCATCACCATAACCTTGAGAAGCAAGATTAGTAAGTTTTTCGGGACTCATAGGCCAGATAATATGAAACAAACGAACAATATTTTCTAAGTTCATGAGAAAGCTGGTATTAGAAATCATTAAGCCACCAGTGGCATCTGCTGCTGATTTAAAACCAGAGGTTGGGGAAACCTTGGGGCAAATATCTGCGTCGCCTGCAAACGGACTCACTGTTATGGTAGACTTATTTAGTATTGGCAAATTATTTGATAATGCACCATCAAGAACCGACTAGAAAGAAAGCAAATAATAAGTCATAAAGGGCTCCCTGAAGGGTATGAAAGTATTTTTCAAATTATAAAATGAATTTACTTCTCCTCTTAGCGTCAAAGGAATGAATCCGCTAAAGACTGGTATAAAAGATGAGCAGAGAATGACCTAAAAAGCTAAATTAAACATTATTTACCTTAATCAACTCGTCTCTTGTCTTAAATTTATTGATGACAACATTTCCTTTGCTTGAACTATGTGTAAGCGAAATATGCAAGCGATCAGAGCATATTAAATGAGCATCAGTTGGCAATATTTTCTCTAAGCTATCCTTTAAATGCTTAGTTATTTTGTACCGAGGGTCAAAAGGTCCAAGTACGTAATTAGTGGATTTCTTAATAATTCCAACAAAGCATTGGACGCATTCAGCTGTAAATAATTATTATAATTTTGTGGCATACATAGCTCGACTTCACAAATAAGGCAAGCGGCGGCTATGCTCCCTGCACTTGCCCCAGCAATTTGCTTGTTCTCGTATAGATGTGGGGCGAATTCTTTGACGCAACAGCAAACCCCAAGGTGATATAATCCCAAAAAACCACAACCGGCGAAGGAAAGATTATAATCTAGGCCACAAGAATCCCTGTGGTAGCGATCTTCCATCGAATATGGGTGTAGGTAAGTCATTATGAAAGGAATATGGGATGATAAAAATGCGAAGACTGCGGGAAAGTGCGCGACCTTGGGATCATAAACAAACGAGCAAACAGAGGTAACTGGGAGTCATGAAAACAAAATATAACATTTATGTGGTGTTTACTTGCTTTGTGTATCGTATTGTATGCTACATTAGATAAGGATCCTGTCTTTTACTAACTTAAATATCTGTCAAATTTTACAGTATTTCAGTCCTAAAAATTATGATATACTGGCAGTCCCGAAACTCTACTTACATATTTAAAAAATTATGTAATTGCAATAGGGGATTCGTGATATGCTTAGCTAAAGACATTATTTTTCGCCATGATTCATAGTTAAATTCTTCCTTTTTCTCGAGACCTTTTCCTAATTTTTGGCTACGTTTACCAAACAATTTAAATTTCCATTGTAGTGATTCATACCAAAAGTTATCTAGCACATCGCATTTCAAATAGCTTATTATTTATTAATATTTTGAGTTGCATTTAACCCTATTATTTGAAATATCAAATATTTTGAATGGATGCTCTTGCTTTGATCATATGCTTACATATCGTGCCTGAGAATTATCTTTAAGATTTGAAACTTGCGAAGTTTGTGATACCCACTATACAGGGTTCGAGGACTAGTTTTGCTCTTCTCTTATT